TCTGGAACTTGTCTGCTAAGCCCATTTCTTCTAGGAATTGCTTCTTCTGCCTCTGCAACTTACCAAATAAATGTTCTCTTACATTTGGGTCTTGGCTCTGAATTCTTTCTTAGCCGGAAACCAAGTACCGAGGTTGCTGAACCCAGGTTTGGTCTGACCCCCGGGTCAGACTCCTGGTGCCTACAACACTGCTGGCCTCGACTTACTTCCTCTCCGGCCTGGTCTCAGTGGTTTGCTGATATTCTGAGCAGGAAGGGGGTCACCCCCATATAGACCTCCCTCCACTGCCAATTGGCTTCACTGACTCATCTCTCTGCTCACTTACCAACATGGGGGGCGGGGGGCGCAGGGGAAGGCACTTTGTGCTCCTGGCTGCCATGTAAGCGCGGAAAGAAGGTTGGAGATTCCCAACGCCCGATGCCTAATTGAGCCTCTAGAACAGTGGTTCTCAACCTTTCTAATGTTGTGGCCCACAGGTTGAGAACCGCTGCTGTAGAGCCTAAGACCATCAGAAAACACAAATTTTTACATTACGATTCATTAGTAGCAAAATTACAGCTATGAAGTAGCAACGAAAATAATTTTATGGTTGGGGGTCACCACAACATGAGGAGCTGTATTAAAGAGTCGCGGCATTAGGAGGGTTGAGAACCGCTGCTCTAGAAGATTCAACTGACAGGCCATCTTTGTAGTCAGGTCGGTCCAGCGTTCACCGTCCCAAGCAGTCCAGCCGCATTCTCCTGCGGCCCGCTCTCCAGGTGTGTTTCCCCCCTAACCCGCATCTTGGTCCCGTGAGGCAGGTGTGTTGCCCATTTTGCAGAAACTGAGGTTCAGAAAGGTGAAGTGACTTACCCAGGAGACGACAGTCCTCAAACCCTTGTCTGTGTGACGGCACAACCCACGCCCGTGTCTCATGTCTTCGGTCATATTAGACCCTTGGCCCAGCTGCCAATGCTGGTCCGTCACTGGCTGTTGTAACCCTGTAGCACCGACAACACAGGCTGACACAAAGCGGCTGGGTCGGGGGGTCTAACCGACCCTTCGGGAGTCTGTGTGTGCTGTGGACTTGGGTGCACAGACAGAGGGCGGCTGTTCCGGGTCAGTCCCTCACCGGCTGCAGGGTCTGCTTCGCCCCGCCTGCTTCCTGCTGCACAGGGGCCACGGGCCGCAAACTGCACAGACATCGGGTGTGGCTTCAGTGGTTCAGCCATCGGACCAGCCTGGTCTTCCCTAACCAGAACTTGTTTCAGAGAAAACATATGCCCACGAAGTCAGCCCGTGACCCAGGCCCCCCGTAGAGATTGGATAACACGGAGGTGAGGGAATCTGATGCCACCAGCTGGGGGACCTCAGGCAACTCTTTCATCCTCAGTTTCTTCATCTGTAGAATGGGGCTAAAGATAATGCTATTTGCTTTAGGGTGGTTGTAAGGTTTAAATGGACCAGCCCATGGCAAAGGGCTTGGGACACTGCCCAGCACAAGGTCAGAAAGCAATCAGTGCTGGCCATTATTATTATTATTCCCAGCCCAAGCTAAGCCCACAGGCTGCCCCCCCTCCCTCCTTTGTGGGACAAGCTCTGCCTGAGCACTGCACCAGCAGATCCCACCGGGGCCCCGGCCGAGACCCCAAAGTACCAAGAACTTAGGGGTTAGTAGGGGAGGCAGAATCCTACCCACTGACATCTCTTGAGGGCAGACCTTTTTTAAAGTTGGAAGGCTCCCTGGAGGAGGTGTGGCCCAAGTTGCCATGGGTAAGGAGACAGCCAATTAAAGGAGCCAGGAAGCACTTGCTCGGAAGCACATGAGCAAGGCATGTTCAGGGCGGGGAAGTGAAGTCACCTATGTGCAAGGGGTGGCAGGGTGTATGTGGGTTAAAGGTGATGTTGGCAGAGGCAGGGAATGAAAGGGCATTGGGCCGAAACCAGTTTGGCTCAGTGGAAAGAGCATCGGCCTGCGGACTGAAGGGTCCCGGGTTCGATTCTGGTCAAGGGCATGTACCTGGGTTGCGGGCACATCCCCAATAGGGGGTGTGCAAGAGGCAGCTGATCGATGATTCTCTCTCATCGATGTTTCTAACTTTCTATCCCTCTCATTTCCTCTCTGCAAAAAATCAATAAAATATATTTTAAAAAAAAGAAAAAAAAGAAAAAGAAAAAAAAATGAAAGGGCATTGGGAGGAGGAGAGTCGAGGAGGTTCGAGAAGTCCCTGAACAAAATCGTTCCAGGGATGGAGAAAGGAAACACGGGAGCCGTATTTAATGTTCTAACCATGGATTAAATGGGGCAGGGTGGGTGGGCTTTGGTTCTCTGTTTTATGACTGGGGATGAGGCAGAGATGGGAGAATCCAAGTTTCTGACTGGGGCAGCTGAGACGGGTCCAGGTGAGGGGAGATCAGCCAGCCACTTGAGTGGTGCCGGCTGCCCAGGGACACCCCAAATAGAAGGGGTGAGCTGAACTATGAAGGGGGAGAGCCAGGTGGCAGGAAAACTCTGGGCGCCTTCTCTCCCCTCACTAACCCAAGCTCCACCTGGGCCGGGAGCTGCCTCCTCCATGAGGCCCGGCGGCCCAGGTATGCCCTCTCCCTGTGCTGCTGGAGACCACCCTGGTGTGACACCTGTCCTCCCTCCAGGGCACTGAGGCAGGCTGCCCTGCAGCGCGGTCCTGGCACCTGAAGGCGCTCAGTGAAGTCCCTCCGGCCAGGTGAGGAGTGTCGGCCACCAGCCACACCTGGCTTCTCCTAAGTGGTCCTCTTTCCCTGCCCACCCAGAGCCAGCCACCCCTCCCCCAGGATCCACACACCTTCACCCCGATTCTGACCTCTTGAGACTGAATGTCAAATCCCAAACCTGGGTAGCAGGAGGGCTTGAAGGCCCTGCCACCTCAGTTCCTGCCTCCGATCCGAGGCCCCACCCAAACCGCGGGCCAGGTGGCAGCGTGGTGGCTCATATTATCCTGATTTTGAGGAGCTGTGGGACTGGCACCAGCCCGACTCCATCAATAACCATGCCTACAGGGCGTGGACAGAAGCATTAGACCCTGGCCTCCCTCAGCATCTCCTCCTGAGCGACCATAGGCAAGTCTTTTAACCTCCATTTCTGCAGAGGGTCCTCAGAGAAACTATTCCCTTCAACGGGGAGCACCCTGCCTGGTGCCCAGGAAAGCACTCAGCAGGTGGTGGCTATCATTACGCAGCTTCCCGGCGTGCTGATGCACGTTAGAGCCAACGGCAAGGCCTTTGACAGCTCCCAGCCGGGCACCTCCTGCCTGCCCCTCCGCCCCTCTGCATGGGTGGTAATTAGAACTTTCCTTGGGTGTGTGCTCCAGAGGGGGGGATTGGGCTGATTCTGGATCATGGAACCAGAATAAATGAAGGCAGGTTTCAGCTTAACCGAGAAAAAAGCAAAATGTTCTTTTTGATGGTAGTGAGCTCCCCATCACCTCACAAACCAGCTGGCCCATTTGGCACGAAGGTCACAGACAGGTGTTAGCATTTCTCACCACGGAGTTGTATTACAGGTCCCTTGAACGAAATGGTGGTGCCAGGAGGTAATGCTCTGTCAGTATTTGGCAAAATGAAAAATTGGCCATTATTACTTTGGCCATCCAAAAAGGCTTATTGAAATCCTACCAGATTATGATACCCAAAATCTTACTCCCCACCCCCTCCTGGATCCAAGGTTTAAGAGCTTCACCATATACCTATACGACTCCTGATTGGTGACCATCTCACTTTTTTTGTCTGTATTTTTGAAAAGTATTACAGACATCACCTTCCTTAAGTCTTTTTCCCATTGACCCCCTCCACCCCATGCCTGCACCTCCCAGGCCTGCACCTCCCTATTCTCCTTGCCCATGGGTTATACAGTGCCCATCTCATGCAAGTCTGAACCTAAGTCATGGCTCAGATCAACCACAGAAACCCCAGGTCAAGTACCACAGAGGCACTTGACCAGCAAGTGCCATTGGGGCGGGGCCGGGCGAGCGGACTGACCTGTCACTGGAGTTCCAGTGGATGGGGAAGGAGACTAGAGCAGGGGTTCTGAGAATCCTCCACTTCCCGGAGAGCCTGGCCTCTGGGGAGTGGCCCGGCAGTCTGCCCAGCACCAACTCTCAGCCTCCCCTCTTCCTCCCAGAGGTGCGTCACTTGGAGAACCTGTCCTGGAATCAGGGGGGCAGTGACCTTGAGCAAGCAGGGAGAGATGGGCCTGGGTTCCTGAGACTATACCCATCTCCCAGTGCAACCTCCGACCCAAAATAAAACCCTTTTCTCAATTCTTTCATGCTGGCTCAGTGATAAGAGCATCGGTTTGCGGACTGAAAGGTCCTGTGTTTGATTCCTGTTAAGGGCATGTACCTTGGTTGCGGGCACACCCCCGGTAGGGGGTGTGCAAGGGGCAGCTGGTTGATGTTTCTATCTCATTGACGTTTCTAGATCTCTCTCTCGCTCTCTCCCCCTCTCTGTAAAAAAATCAATAATATATATATATATTTTAAATATATTTTATTGATTTTTACAAAGGGAGATAGTTAGAAACATTGATGAGTCATCAATCAGCTGCCTCTTGCACACCCCTACTGGGAATATGCCCACAACCAAGGTACATACCCTTGACCGGAATTGAACCCGGGACCTTTCAGTCCCTAAGCCGACGCTCTATCCATTGAGCCAAACCGGTTTCGGCGATAAAATTTTTTTTTTTTAAATGCCTTGTGTAACTCCGAGCTTCCTGGGGTTAACCCCATGACAAACTCAGGGCACCCTCAGCCGGCTACACCCAAGGGTCCCCGCCTAACAAGGGTGTCTGTGTAGCTCCGAGTCTTTCCACACACAGAACTGACCACGGAGAGGCAGGCTGTTCTGGACATTCCTTTCGCCGTCCCTCTCCCCAACCAAGTGCTGGGCCAGGGAGACCCCAACTGTCCAGACTCCTGACACCCCCCCCCCCCCAACATCCCACCGTAAGACAAAGGAGCTGGAGGACAACGTGGAATCAAGTGTACATTTTAAAAATTGTTTAATGGAACATAAACTCCTTTAGAAAAACATTCAGCCAGGTGATAACACCCATAGAAAAAAACACCAATCTTGTGTTTATCTTTTTTTTAATTTGGCATTTGTTATTTGCATTTATATTAAAGCAAAGTGCATCTTTTCTTTTATTTTTCTTGTTTATACACATTGCACAATACATAAATAATGATGCTTATAAAACGTCTTTATATTTACAAGTAATAATATATTTATATATAACATAAAATACATTTTTTCTCTAATAAATCTCAGGGTTTTTTTGTTTTTGTTTTTTGTTTTTTTTCCAGGAGTCCTTTCTCTCAAAAGCACTACAATGCTAAATTTCCAATGAGAATGCTTCTCTTGTTCACTTAAACCTTTGTAGTTAGAAAAATAGCTTATGTTAAAGTCTAAACATGCTCATTGAGCTAAGAGCAGTGTCAACACGTCATACGAGTGTATGAGTCGGAGGAGAAACGAAAGGAGAGTGAGGCGTCAGTCCAGGATGGTACCTTGGGTTACGACGGACCGAATCCTTGGTGGGAAGGGGGCTGCTCCCCTCGCTGGTCTAACAGCGGAGCTCAGCACAGGCCTCGGGGAGAGTGCCAAGCTGGTTTTCTGAGTCCGGGTAAAACCTGAGGGGCCCGGGGCAGGGGAGAGGCGGAGGGAGGGCCTGAGAGGGCACCGGGTGGGCATCGCTGTAGCTCAGACACATCCAGGAGCAGGTGCCGAAAAGGGAAGACAATGGCAGCGGGGTGGCTGGAGGGGGAGTTACCGACAAGACAAACTTGAAAACGACGATTCTGGGTCAGCCTCTTTGCAGCGTTGTTTCTAAGAAGCCTAGGGACAGGCCTGGTTCCTTAGAAGGGGAGGGTGGGGCGGGGACTTCCCTGGCTGGGGGCAGAGCCTTGCTTCTGTCAACTGCTGGGACGCTGGGCGCAGGCTGCCCGGGTACTGTCTCTGCCCACTGGGCATGCCCAGAAGGCAAGGGAGACACAGCTGGGAGCACAAACCTCTCAGCTGGAGACGCCACTGAGTAGCACAGAGCTCCCGGGCAGGCACACAGATACACACACTCCTGTCCACATACCCACTCTGACAAGTGAAACGATGGCCCCCAACGTTAGGGGCCGCTCCCTGCTCATACACCGTGTTCAGGGGGCTGATTTTTGCTTCCCCTTTTCACACGGGGGTGTCCTGCCAACCGTACAATTTCACCCCCCTCACCCAAAAAGACCCCAACAATTCTTTTCATAAGCTACTTCTCAAAGAACAAAACAAAACGGAACATAAACAAGAACGACAAGAAGGAAGGGGGTTGAGGGGTGGGGGGGAGAAAAGAACAATGACCAAAGAGTTTTGCATGAAAAGCAAGCGCTCAGGAGGAAAATATTAGCAGCAAAGTAGTTTGGACTGGGCCCGTCCGGCTCGCTCTGTCCTCGCCGGGGGCGCACAGGCGCGCGGCTACCGGCTGTTGAAGATGACCTCCAGCCAGCATGGGCAGCTGCTGATGAACTGGCGGGTGTAGCACTGGCCCCAGCCCTTCACGAAGCTGATCTGCACGGTGAAGCCGGTCCACGGCTGCTGCATGAACTCGTGGTCGTTGGGCCGCTGCAGGCTGTACGCCTTCTCGTAGTCAAAGGCCTTGATGGAGAAGCCGGGGAACACCTTGTGCACCAGCAGCGTCCTGGAGTCCGGGTTGTCCAGTGTGGCCGACTTGATGAAGATGGGGTAGCTGCTGCGGTTGTACACCCACACGCCGTCCACCTCCCGCGTGAGCTGGATGCCGCAGCCGATCTTGCTCCGCACTTTCTGCACCAGCTGGCTCTTATTGTCCGAGTTGAGCTGTCCGAGGCAAAAGCCGTTCCCCTGAGGTAGATCATAGAAGATGTCCAGGGAGGGCTCCTGGACGCAGTAGAGCCGCCCCACGCGCGTCTTCTCCTCCCAGTATGCCACCACGCACCAGTGTGACCGATCCCCAGGCTCCAGGAGAAGTTGGGAATCTGCGAGACAAAACGGCAGGCACGGTTGGTGGGGGTGGGGCTCTCTGCTTCCTCCCGGAATCGGCACCACACAGGCGCATCCCCGAGCATCCCCACCCCCCCACACCAGCTGGGCTCTCAGCACGGGACAGGAGGAGACGCTGGTGGTGCTGGGTGTCCCACAGACCGGTTCCACTCCTGCCACCGGGACGGCAGTCCTGACCGGTAGACGTGTCCATCCTTTAATTAAGCAGGGGGCTCACTGGGCACACCTCAATCCCACCCCTTTCCCCGTCCTGTCAGGGACCCAGACACCACCAACCAGTACGTGTGCGCCCCCCGCTTCCTGGGTATTCAGAGGCCAGGGGGCCCCTGCTGGACCTGGTGTTAAAAGCCACAGGAGGCCTCGCAGACAGCCTAGAATTTGTTCTGCAAGCTGATGGCATCCTGAAGGCCAGTGCCCTGCGCCCCGGGCAGCCATCCTGATGAGACACCTGGGCCCCAGAAAAGCTTGTTGCTCGGGCCCCGGGGCCTGCCACAGCCAGGCCTCCAGGCTCCAGGCCCATTTGCTCCAAGGTCTCCGTGACAATCACCAAGTTCTCAGATCAGAGCTTTGGGCAAAAGAGCTGTCTGGTAAAAATGTAAATGGGGGTGTTTTGGGGCAAAAGTCTCTCGCTAACAGAAAAACAACCCTTGGTGTCTGTCGGCAGCAGCACTGCACACAAAGAGTGGATTCCTGCCAACATGCCACATCACAACCCGGGACAGGTCCAGCTCACCCAGACAGACCACCTTAACGAAGCTCCCTCCAGCGGACAGAGGATTATGTGTCTACACCGGGCATGGCCACCCTTAAAGTGCCCTTCTCTGCTCACACCCCTCCTCCCCTCCCTCCCTCCCTCCCGGCAGCATCTGGGCGCCTGGCCTGCCCCCTCCTTCCTCCCGCCCCTGCAGGCCCCACCCCAGCCGTCCCAGAAGTGCCTCTTCCCGCAGGCAGCCTGGGAGAGGCCGGGGAGATCCTGGTAAAGGTGATTTTCCTAAACTAAACCGGCACACGAAGCCCTTTAAAAGGGGGATGTATGGGAAGGAAAGGGAGCCCTTGGCGGCTGGCATTCCTACTCCGTAAGCTGGAGCCAGCGGGGCAGGCCTCAGACTGGGAGCCATAAATCTCCCCAGCCAGGCCGGGCTGCAGGAACGAGGCTGCGGTCTGTGGTGGCAGGGCGGAGACCGGAAGTCTTGTATTTGTTAACAAAAATGGGGAGGGGCGTGGGGTGGGGGGGCAGGAGGCAAAGGCTTAGGACAGGAAGGAGGGGTTGGCTGTGAGGTATCTTTCGGTGTGCTTGGCCCTTTTGATTTTGGAACAACTGGGCTTGGAGAATAGAGGGATTGTTGCAGCGTGGCTGCGGGATGGAGGGGGGCTGCCCCGCCCCCCATCTGCTGCCCCCGTGCAGCTCAGCACCCAACTCGTCCGGTGTCCACAGGCACGTTAGGACCTGGGAGCCCCATGAGCTTTTTTTTTAAGCAGCAGCCAGTCTCCCGTGGAGGTGTGTCCCATGAGTAAGTGGACAATGTGCCCTCTGACCCACAGAGGCAGCCAAGCGCACACCCTGCGTGGCCGCCTCCTGCAGAGACTCCACCTGGTCTTCTCAGAGGCCTGCCTGACAGCCACACAAATGGGGAGAGGAGGGCCCATTCCTTCTCTTAATCCCCACCCCACCGAAAACCAACCCAGAACATAAGCCTGCCACCACCCCTCCCCCCCCCGCACCCCCCCACGCACACACCAGTAAAGCACAAGTGTGAGCGAGACTATGTGCCCCCCCAAACGTGAGCACACTTAGTGGGGGGGTGTGTGTGTGTTTGTGTGTGTGTGTGTGTGTGTGTGTGTGTTTGCATGCGCACACATGGGAACATATGGAAAAACAAGAGGGACAAGGGCTCCCAGCAGAAGGTGACTCATCAGGCATTAACTTGTTTCTGCAAAGGATCCATCAACTGCTAATAAACCCGTGAGCGCTGGCAATCTTTGAACTTGCTTGCTGAGGGAGCTGGGCCCTGAAGGCGACACCAAGACCCACAGCAGCCGCGTAAATGAAGGCTCTGCATGCAGGGCGCGGGGGGGGGGGGGGGGGGGGGGCGCCTCTCCTGGAAGAGGGGGTGTCCGCGGGGGGGTGGGGGGGGGGTGTTGGAAATGTAAGCAGCTCTCCTTCACTGTCCCAACGCCAGGCGACAAACCTGGCTGGAAGGGGGCCACAGGGAGGGGGTGCAGGAGACCCCAGCAGAGCCTTACAGACTTTGCTCCATGGAGCCCGGCCCCCTGAAACCTGGCCCCGGCTGGAGGGAGGAGCAGCTGCCGAGTGGGGTGGGGTAGGAGCCTGGGATCAGATGCCCTCGTGCCAGGCCTGAGGGCAAGACATGGGGGGGGGGCGTGTCGCCCCACGGGCCTCTTGGGGGCAGAGGAAGCCGGGAGGGGCTGGGGCGGGGCTGGGCCGAGGTCGGCTGGACTCCAGCCCAGCCCAGCCCAGCGCCGGAGGGGAGAGAGGGAGAGGGGAGCGCTCTGGCGGGTTTCTCTTTCATCTCTGCAGCCTGCCAGTCCACCCAGCAATTTGCTGCCAGACATCCCTGGAAAAAGGCTTTTTCTGTTGAGGTTAATGGCCCGGCCCAGATAAACGGCAGCGTGTGGGAGTCCCTGTGTGTGAACGAGGCCCCTGAAAGCTCACCAGGTGCCCCGATCCGGTGCACGGGGACCCCCGAGTCACCCCACAGCCTGCTGCCCGCCCGCCCGCTGCTCCGGGCCGACTCTGAGCACCAACAGCTGCAACCACTAAGGCCCCCTGAATGCACGCTGCGGGCCCAGCACGGCCTCCTGCCTGGCAGAGCCTGGCAGATCCGGGGATTCTCCTCCTTTGCCCCAAATTCACTTCTGGGAAGTGCTCAGCATCCTCTTCAGAGAAAACCAGTTCCCTGTCCTGGGCGCACAGCCCACCAAGCACAAGCGTCTCTCCAGGCCTCACCGCAAGGACCCCTCGATCAAGAAGAACCTCCCTCGTTAGCTGGGACCAGGGCTAAGCAGGGATCTCGGAAGCCCAGCTTGGCTCCTATGGCAGCTGCCGCCGTGGACAAGTCCCCCCCCACTCCCTTCACCTCCCTCCACTTTATAGCCTTTTCCGGCGTTTTTCCCTCCTCAGTACCCTGCGCGGGGGATTGTTTTAAAACAGTATTTGCGCATTTTTAAGCATCAAGAAGAAAAGCTGTGTTGTAAAAAGCTAATCAGATGCCTGCTCCATTTTTTTTTTTCCTTTTTATTATAGTTTAGGGAATTTTTGGAACGATCCAAGAAAAAAAAACACAAACGCTGAATCGGCCTAAATTCCCTGTAAGATTGTCCCCCTGACCCCCCTTTCCCATTTCCCTTAAAGCATCAAGTCGACCCTTGAAGAAGAAGGGGAGAGGGAGGGGGTGCCCAGGAAGGCCTCCCTGCCGCTCACAACGCACCGTCTGAGGACCCCGGTCATGAATGGACAGACCAGGCCCTTCGAGAAGACCGGACAGAAGCTCCTGCCGGGGTCTCAAGGACATGGGGTGACAGATCTTAGGGCCAGATCTCAGGTACGGGAAGAATTCTCCCCTTTAAACATTATTTATTTGAAGGAGTAAAGCGATGAGGGGGAAACAGAAGGAGGAAGGAGAGGCGAGGCCAGTGCCTCGACGCCGGCTTCTAAGGCCACACCACCAGACCAGGAAGCAAGCAAGCGCTACTCCCAAAGCGCCAGCGAGAAAATCCTTCCCTCGCCTACAATCTGGCCTGGAGATCTGGTCACCCCATGCCACCGAGAACACGGGCATGTGTGAGAAGGAAGCCATCTGAGCCTGGCTGTGCCCACACAGAGGTGGGCTTAATGGGGAGATGGTCCCCCTGATTCTGGCCTTCAGGACAGGCACACACTTGAGAAGCAGGGCAGAGGCACACAGCTGGTGCCCACTGCCTCCAGTGCCCCCCCCCTTCCAGGGTGCAGGGGGCTGCAGTGCCAGGTGAGCAAGGAGGGGTCTCCAGTCCAGCTCCCTTCTGCAGGCACCTGGCTTGTAGAAGGGCATTTCTCTGCCAAAACCCAACAGCGGGCTGGGCCTGGGAGCCCCCTCCCCAGGGCCCCAGCAGAGCAGGAGGCGGAGGGTGGGGAAGCCAGGGGAGCTGGGCGTGGGCAGGAACGGCGGCCTCACCCAGCCAGGCTGGCGAGGGCAGATGAAGGGCACAGAGCAGACCCAGAAGCCAGAGCCAGCAGCCCTGGAACGCAAACACCACCACGCCTCGCCCACGACAGGTCCAGGGTCCTCTCTCCTCAGAACACCGGCGCCACCAGCGGTTGCCTCATCCCGCCTTCCCCCCACAGACATCTCAAAGGTTAACAGCAACGCGGCCCTGCCCCTACCCCAGCCCTGCTCCCACAGCCAGCCCACCTCGGGGAGAAGGGCCCATCGTCCATCTGCTCTCATCCCAAAGACTCCCAACTGTCAAGGACCCTCGCCGGGCTCCTGTTTTCAAGAGGCAAATGACCCGGCACTAAAGTAAACATATAAAAACTGGACGAGGTGTCTGGGTGCAGCTTGGGTTCGGAGTCTGCTCTGATCGGCCGTGTTCCACCCTGGTCGGGACCCTCGAGGTCAGGGCTCCGACCCCCGGACGGCACAGGCAGCTCGGGGTCTGGAGCGAGCTGCCCCCGGGATGGACATGAACTCCAAGCGCATCCGCCTGGCTCAGAACCCACCTCGCACCCACGCGCCAGGCACTTCCCCCAAAAGGTCCAGAGGAGGGCTTAGGGCTGAGAAAGCGGATTTCTGTGACAAGGTTCTCTCCACGAAGGCAGCTGGACTGAGGGGCGGGCAGGGGGAGCCACAGGGTCTCCTTCAAAGGCAGGGTACTTCCTCGGCTCCCTGGGCCCAACCGACTGAGTTCCCCAAAGCCCGCCCCTCAGGGACTTCTGGCTATGGTGCGACACCCTCCCCCACACACACCCCACCGCCCC